CCCTACAGGACAGGCTAGAACTGCCCCTGTGGGTTTCCGAGACTGCCACTCTTTACAGAAGTAGAAAGCCCCATCTTTTCCCCACGGAGTGGCTGATGGTTTCAAACTACTGACCTTGAGGTTAGCAGCCCAATGCATACCAGGGCCCCCTGACAGTCAAAGATAACATGGAAGCAGTTAATTTATAGATGTAGACAATCTATTTGCCTTTCTCTAAGCTTGAGCTCACATCCTGCCTGGATCTGTCCATCCATAAGCACCTGTGCCTGCGCCTGCGTGGCCCTTGCTGAGTGGGCTCTGACAGACCAGTGCGCCTGCATGCTGCTTCCTGTGGGGGCTCTGACAGACTGCTGCACTAGGCGCTGCTTCTTGACTCAGGGTGAGCTGCAGTGAGCAGGAGCTGTACAAAGGGTGGAGCATGCATGTTCACAGCTCTGAGTGTGTGTGCAGCACCCCTCTGCGGGAGCCGCTCGTCACCCATCAAGTGCTTGAGGGACTGTGGGTGAGTGCACACCCAGGCCCTGTGGCATTAGGATGTCACCTCTTCCCAGGGTCAGGGCGCGCCCACCTTCCATCCCCCCAGTTCCTCCCCCACCCCACCCCCAACACACACACTGAGTATTTCTCCGATGCTGGGATAGTTGTGTGTTAAGATGCTAATTAAGGGGGGTTTAACACACTTCATCTCTTTCCCTAGATCTGGCTCGAACCTATGAAGCCCATCGTTAGGCAAGTCCGACGTGAGTACTCTTTTCTGCAAGGGTCTGTTCACTTTTGCCATGGCATCCTGTGCGCTGAGCTCCAGGGCACCCTGACGTTCACTGAACCACCTACGTCCCGGGAATCTGGCCACGCTTGACTATCTCATTTTGAACTATGAGAGGAGGAACCCAAACCAAATCCACCACCATCAAGTCCGTCCCAGCTCCCCGCAGCCCTGGCTGTGCAGCGCAGGTAGCACTGCTCCTCCAGATTCCCGAGGCAGGACCTTTGCTGGAGCAAAGCTAGTGGGTTTGCACCTCCGGCCTTGCAATTAGCTGCCTCGGTGCTTAACCTACAGTGCTACCAGGGCTCCTTACGACAGGAAAAGGGCAGTAAATTGACCTCATGTGGTCCTACTACTGCCCGGATGCTGCTCAGTATCAGCATAATATTTCCTTCTCCCAAAAGTAGTTGTTGTTTTTCTTAAGGTTATGAAAAGCCACTGAGATTTCTCTTTAGAGTAACAGTGTTCATGAAATAGTTCATTCACACAGTTCAGTAGTTGCACATAGAATTGTGAATATACCTGTATTTATTATTATCTGTTACACTTTTCCCTCCTGTTTCATGTTATTCATTTACTTTTTTAAATATTCTGTTACATTTTTAAATGAAGACCTATAGAAATGTTTCTTAGTCTCTCTACAAGGGGCTGGACTGAGGGGAAAGGCGGCTGTGTACAGGATGGTTGTGCAGTGATAAAAGCAGGGCCAGTTCAGGTGCCACACGCAATACTTCCCTTCTCTTTTGTGAAAGTGAAATACCAAGACTGCTAAAATGCTGTGTTCAGTGCGGCTAATGAATCTTAGGGCTTTTCTTTATAAACCCTTTATATTTATTATTTTTTAATCCAAAATTATGAGCACAGGGCAGTTTGAAGGCAGCGAGGTGCTCTGTGGGAACGTGGCCGCATTTGTGAGCCCTCGAGTGAGCTCTGGGTTGGAGGTCATGATAGTGTCTCCATGTCTGTCCATCAGCTGTAGCGACTGTGCCACAGGGAGAGAGCCTCTGTCAGCCCCGTGAACTTTCTGCTCTAAAAAGAAGGATTTGGGAATATGGACAGCATATATTTGACATTTTTAGTGTTCCATCTTCTACTTGTTTTTTAGGGTTTTCTAAATGACAGTGTGTGCTTAATACAGAAGGTCACATTTTCTCTTTGCTGTGATTGGTTACCTAGGACTGACCATCTCACGCTTAGGAAACACCTTAACATTTCATTTGGCAAGATTTTCTTGAAAAGTCCATTAAAGCCCCAGCTCAGGTACACTGTAATATGTGGAGTGCATATCAAGATCGACTATTTGTGAAGTTGACCTTTTTGGTTGTTTTAGGCCCAAAGAACACCTTGCTACGCCTAGCTGTGAAGTTCTTCCCGCCCGACCCAGGCCAGTTGCAAGAAGAGTACACAAGGTAGGGAGCACTTCCAAGCTGGGGTGGGCATGCTCAGGGGTCTGGTCGCCCCTTTGGCCGCTGAAGGGCCACAGGCTTGGCTGCCCAAGTGCTCACAGTGTGCTTATTGAGGGAATGGATGAGCCTCGTGTGCACGTAGGAAAGGGACTAGACAATTGGGAGTTAGAAGAAACATTTTGGCTATTGAGTCTTACACAAAACCAAGTGCAAGTACGATGTAGAAGAAAGGTTTGTGGTACAGATTTGAGACTGACACCTGGAATGCTAGGGTAGTAGTGCTGAGCGGACGGTCTCCAGGTGAACGCAGACCACTTCACTCTCGTCCAGCTCTTGGCACCTGTGGGGCTATGTTTACTTCTTTATCAGCGAAACATACTCGGTGGTAAGAAGGACCAAGTATATCTTTTCTCAGGAAGATTGACTATTTACATACCCTTGCATGTATCCATTTGATAGTAAGAATAAAATTGCAAGAGGGGAGAAGGGTGCACTGGAACTGATTGTGATGACGTGTATAGAACTCTTTTTAGAAGTGGCTTAACTATCCAAGTGTGAGATATGTGAATTTCATATCAATAAAGCTTTTTTTTTTTAAAGAAACAATTAAAGCAGCTACCCAAAAGCCAAGGTAAGGAATAAGATAGTGACAGCTGTGGCGTTGCGCCTTGCTGGCTGGAACGTCTCCAGACCTGGCCCCTAGAAGCCTCGGAGCTGCTCTGAAAGGTCAAAGGTATCTATCTGCAGCTTGTTTAAGCCCCAGAGCCCCAGGTGTCACTAGAGGGGGTGTAGCTGTCACAGCAGCTTGGCTTCTTCTGGCAGGCAAGGGAGATCTGGTGCTCAGGTGCCAGGTAGGCTGGTTGGGGAGCTCAGCGTGTCCTCCTAGGCAGGTATGGTTGCTTAGGAAAAAATTTGTTTGAAAGGAATAACTCTCAACTGTTTGCCTGGGAAATGATGGAACCAGGGGTGTCATTCAACCCAAGGTCCTGGTTTCAAGCCTAAGGACTAGTTCTGGGGAGTCAGATTTATAGTGACATATAAACACACACACACACACACTTTTGTGTTGGGGCATCTGTTGTCACGAAAAACTACATATTTGCGGTAAAAATGAAACGCTGTGAGCAGTGGAAGTTCCCTTCTCTGTCTGCACACAGACCCTGACAGCCGGAGCATCTCTCCAGATGGACCCACCACAGTGTTCATGCGGGCACTGGGCTCTACAGAAAGCTCTGTTTCACAGAACGGTGCCTGACTCTCTCTCTGAGCCACAGAGATGGAGGTCTTTTTTCTCCCCTGCTTAGAAACATGTCATGGACACCTTTCTATATTAATATCTATGGCTGCCCTGTAATTTATTTAATCGTTCTCGTGTCAGTGCTCATTAGAGTACTTCTCCCTTCTCTGTCATAATGGTGCAGTGCATGTTCTTGTCCACATACCTTCCTGAACTTAGGGAGGTCTTTGTGTAGGCAAGTGTCGTCCAGTTCAGCCAGCAAGTTGCAGTGCATGCCCCTGGTTCAGTGTAAGAGGATGTCTTATATCAGTGGTTCTCCACCCTCCTGATGTCGCAGCCCTCATGTTGTGGTGACCCCCCAACCATAAAACTATTTTTGTTGCTACTTCATCACTATAATTTTGCTATTGTTATGAATTGGGTGACCCCTGTGAAAGGGTCATTTGACCCCCAAAGGGGTCGCAACCCACAGATTGAGAACCACTGTCTTAGAAGGTTAGCCTCCTTGAACATCGGGGAGAGCAGGAGTCTGTCCATCTTCCGAGCTTCAAGGCCAGAGCCTCCTGCATAGACTCAGTCAGCGTTGACTCACTGACAGAGTGAGTGTGCAGATGCTTGTTCTCAGGCTGTGTCTCTGGTTCCTGGTGCCTCTCCAGGGCCACGTCCTAGCCCTCCACAGCCACACTTCACACTATGTCATTGCTTGGTGCTTCTGCCGTTTCTGACAAAATTGTGTGACCATAGTAGTCAGTTGATGAGCTGGCTCCTCGAAGGTGTGGCTGCGGCCCACGTCATGTTAGGGGTGCCTGGCACCTCACTATGTGCTCCATCTGACTGGACTGGCAACTGACCTTTGGACAAAAGGCCTTTGTGACTGTGTTCAGGCCTTCATGTGGCCTGGCCACCATCTTTCCCTGCTCTTGAACACTCAGCCTGGCGCTGACCTCTGGCATGCTCCCTGCCTCTTTCCAGGTACCTGTTTGCCCTACAGCTCAAGAGGGACTTGGTGGAGCGACAGCTGACCTGCAGCGACACCACTGCGGCTCTCCTGGCATCCCACCTCCTGCAGTGTCAGTATCTCTTGCACATGGCAATGGCAGGGCTGGCAGAGCGGGGCTTCCACACAGGCATTTCTGAGGAGTCTCCTCGGCATGGGGCTCCTCCTGGCTCATGGTCTCCACGAGGCCAAAGCCTGCAGCCCGATGCCTTGTGTGGGGGACTGGTGTGTGCTGAGGGTGGGTTTCCTGTCAGTCCACCTGCTGTCTCTGAGCAGACCCAATGGGACTCTGTAGCCCCATGAGAGGCCTCCTTAGGAGAGCTGGCCCCTTTGTCCTGGAAGGAGAGGGAACCTGGCCCTCTGTGTCCCACACAGAGTGAGTCACCCAAACAAGCTGGCAGGAGAGGAAGCAGCCACCTGCTCTGGGCTGGGAGTGCAGAAGTGCAGGATAGGGTGCCATGCTCAGGGGGCTGTGGGAATTGAGGTACACCCACTTCTTCATAGGCTCGTCCTACTAGGTGGGACTTGCTCACACACTCGGGCTTTCTCTCACTTGGTCCAAGTGTCCCAGGTGGACGGCAGCTCTGCAGGGCCCTTCTATAGCACTGGTTGGGTGATACCCGGGGAAGGGTCATTGGAGTAGGGTACTGTCGTGGGACGTGATGTCATAGCACGTTGTCCAGCTGTAACCTTCTCCTTCGTGCTGCTTGAGTTGAAGGAAGCAGAGACAGAGCGGCTCCAGGACCCCTATCCTCTGCTGTCACTAACTGGGGAGAAGCTGGGACGCCCAGGTCCAGGCAGGGAGCCACTGATGACCCCACATGAGGAGCAGCAGGGCTCACAGGCAGGCAGCTCAGGGGGCTCCAAGCCACCCCACCTCTGTGGACTGAAGAAGGTTCCAGAACAAAAATGAAGTGCATTTCTGGCATTGCTGAGCTTCACTGCTACTTGCACGACACTTGCAGCCACAGCAGTCAGGAACAGTGTTATACAGAAATGTGTGGGACCCTGAAAGACAAGCTGACTTCAGTGATGGACGTAACAGGCACCGGCACCCAGGTGGAGAGTGTGCTGAGAGTCAGCAAAGCCCTCACCACCGGCCTGCCTATGGCCATGAGTTGGTATTTAGAAAAATAAATGGCTAGATTTTAGGTTTTTAGGTATATGTGTTTTACCGTCCACCGTTCACCGGGCTGGTGGTCTCACTTTCTCTGAGCCCCTTGCTCATGCAGTCGGCTGTCTGGTGCTGGAGCATAGAGTCACTGGCTTTGTTCACCGCAGCGGAAATCGGGGACTATGATGAGACGCTGGACCGAGAGCACCTCAAAGTCAATGAGTACCTGCCTGACCAGGCGCTCTCTCTGGAGAAGGTGCTGGAATTCCACCAGCAACACACGTGAGTCTCTTGGGTCACTGCCCGCGTGGGTGGCACATTGGCCCAGGGGGCAGCAGCTCGGAGATCGGGCTGAGGGTACGTCCTGCCCCCTGCCCCCTTAGCCCCACTCTAGGCAAGACCCTCCTGTACATCCACAGACCCTTTGCTCACCAGCTCAAGACGGTGAGTTGTTCTTCAGAACGTACTCTGTGTTGCAGACGTAGCCCCATGATGGTAACCGTTTGGAAGAAACACTCCTGTTGGCGTTAGCAGTGTCCACTTATGTTGAGAGCTGCCTTTCCCAGGGGCAGCTGAGCTCTGTCTGGACGGCAGAGGAGGACCCTCAATGGGAGGGGCTGGGGCAGGTAGAAGAGACCCATAGGTGCCGAGGAGGCAGTGTGGGACCCACGTGCTTGTAACCGTGTTCTTACCCAGGTGCTTGGGGAGAGGTAGGCTTGTTGTATACGGCGAAGCTCTCCTAAGACATGCTGCTCCCTACACCCCCCTGCCAATGCCCTCATCCCAGCTGAGGGTCAGCATCTCTGGTCTTTTGTTTAAGAAAGAGTGTGTGGAAGTGCACTTAAACTTAAGGATAGTGAACTAGTGACCCTCGGCAGACCCAGTGCCTTCTCTGCTGGGGCTGAGCCATCACGTCCGTCAGTGTCCCATCTGACTTTGGGGAGAAGCTTCTGAGACAAGTCTGTGCTGTTTGTTGCAGGGGCCAGACACCAGCCGAGTCGGACTTCCAAGTGCTGGAGATTGCGCGTAAGCTGGACATGTATGGCGTCCGGTTTCACGTGGCTTCTGACCGGGAGGGAACCGAGATTAACCTGGCCGTTTCCCACAGGGGTGTCCTTGTGTTCCAGGTAGGCTGGCTGGCTGCCTGCCATGCCAGGGTGGGGGTGTTGCAAGATGCGCTCTGCAGTCCCTCCTCGGGGTCTGCAGATAGAAAAGTTGATAAGTGTTCATCCTCATGAGCAAGATCTTGGGCCTGGAGGTAGAATTTACATGTCTCTGATCCATGTCTCACTCGGCAGTGTTGCATCCCCGCTTCAGCCTGAGTAACCATCATTGCCGTCACAGAGCCCCCAGCCCCAGGACTACCCACCCAAACCACCTATTAGCAGCCGTCTCCTCTACACACATACACCCCCCCCTTCCCTCTGCAACCCTTGTGCTCTCTCTGATTGGACTTGCTGTCAGTGGAGCCTGCACTATTGGCCCCTCTGTCGGCGCCGTGCCCTGGCCGTGCCCGTGCTGTGGGTGCGTCAGTGCTCCCTCTAGTTGCCGACTGCCTCTGAAGCAGCATGAAGCATCGTGCTCCCCATCTCAGGTCTGCAGGACAGAGTAAATGGCCATGCTGGGGAAGAAGATTAGATGTTAGAAACCTGTTTCATTTACAACAGTTTTACACGTCCAGCAAAATTGGCAAAATAGTGCAGAGGACTCCAGCTTACCCTTCACCCACAGACCAGTCTGCTGCCAGCAGTTGCCCAGGGATACTGTTTACAGCAATAGGTCTGGTCTAGGTCTGGCACTGGCCGAGGTCATGAGTCCTCGTAGCCTCCCCTGGTCTGGGATGGCCCTTCTTCCTTCCCTGGGCTCCCTTGGAAGATGGTGGGCTGCTGGAGTGGGTGGTCCAGCCCTTCCTCAGGAGTAGCCAGTCAGCTAGCTCCATGGCAGGTACGGCTCTGATGACACTGCTGTGGGGCTTCAGTCAGATGCAGAAGAGGCTGCTCTGCCTAAAGGCTGGAGCTGATAATTTTTCTTCTCTCAATCAGCATGGTCTTTGCCAGGCTCTTATCCCCCGTGATCTTTGTTCCTTTTCATTTGTGAGTACTCAAGGAGACACACGAGGAGCCCTGGTGCTATGGTGGTTACGCCCTGGGCTGCGATCCACATGGTCGGCAGTTCAAAACCACCAGCAGCTTTGAGGGAGAAAGACTGGGCTTTCTACTCCCCGCCAACAGTTAGAGCCTCGGAAACCCACAGCGGGGCGCTGTGAGTCAACACTGGCTTGATGGCAGCAAGTTTGATTTTGTTTTGTTTTTTTGTGGGGAGGCATCTCCCCTTGCAGGCCTGTTTCTGTCACTGTGAACAGGCAGCCATTTGACATCACGTTCTCGTTCCAGGAATGCTCATCCAGGTGAAAACGGGCTCCTTATTCTCAACTCTGGAGCCCTGGTAGCATAGTGATTATATGTGGGCCCACTGACAGCAGGATCAGCAGTTTGAAAGCACCAGCCACACCGAGGAACAAAGACTAGGCTTCTACAATCTCAGAAAGCCACGGGGCCAGTTCTACCTTGTCCTATAGGGTCTCTATGAATCAGCACCAACTCAATGTCAGCAAGTTTTCATTTTCACCTTGATGTTGTCCCAGATGTGGCCAATGAGAGTGTCTTCAAGGCAGTTCCTGTGTCATGTTGGCTGTGCCCCACACTCTAAGTTCTTACTTACTTTGTTCTATGGCAAGAGATATGCCAGGCTCATCTTGTCCTCTGCCTGCTCTGCACCACAGTTCACCGTCTCTCAAGAGAGCAGGCACCTATCTAGAAGCCAGTCTGCAAGTCGATGCCTGCTTACCCTCCACATGTCTCTGTCTACTTACTGAAATTATGAGTGCATGCACCCCCACACCTCTCTCTCTCCCTCCACTGAAACCATAGTGCACACCAAGGTCTCCCATGCCCAGCCTGCCTGACCAGCCCCTGCTCTGCTCAGCCTCCCTTGTCTGCAAGTGTGGCCCAGACAGACTGTTCACGTTGGCCCTGGTCTGCCTGATCTGTAAAGAGCCTTATCACGGAAATTGCTGTAGCTTCTCTACATGTATGTGCTAGAACATGTTAGTCTGTGTTTATGTCATAAACCCTAGTAGAGGCTGACCTCACCATCAGGATGAGATTTAAGTGCGATAGCTTCCAGGAGGTCAGGTGTGTGCTGTGGAGATTAAGATTACATGAATGCTATGAAATGCTTGCTCTTCCATTTCAGGGCACCACCAAAATTAATACTTTCAATTGGTCCAAAGTCCGTAAACTAAGCTTTAAGCGGAAAAGATTTCTTATTAAACTCCACCCAGAAGTCCATGTAAGTATTACTTTTGTGTACTTTTTAAATCGTTAGGAAATTTATTCTGCTAGAATATGGAATGATTGATTCACCTCCTAAATCAATCCAAGGGCAAATCAAGTCAAAACCAGAGCTGAACAGGCAGGATTTGAAATTTGAGTCTTGAAGGAACCTGGGCCCCCTAGCCAGCTGTAGCCTTGTCCAACAGTCTTGGGGTTTGGGCTCGGGCAGTCTGGGAAGGGTGGCATGTGCCACAGCCCCAGGTGGACTGGGCTGGTTTTAGGCCACAGAGCTCCTGTGTGAGCTCTTCTCAGCGGTTTGGGGGCAACCCCCCATCGTCTCATGACTGAGACTGAGAAACCGGCCTTTGAACAGCCTTCCCTCAGGAGAGCTTCATGGTCAGGAATGATGAGAACAGAGCTCTCTGTTGGTGATGCGGTAGTTAAGTGCTTTGCTGCTAGCCAAAGACTCAGTAGTAGTTCAGACCCCCCAGCACCCTGGGGGAAAAGCTGTGGTCATCTGCTTCCATAAGCCGACAGACAGCCTTGGAACCCCATGGGGCCATCCTGCACTGCCCTCTGGGGTTGTTACGCCCTAGCATCACCTCAAAGGCAGCATGCTTTCTTGGGAGATTGAGTCTTTGAGTGACACAGGTGCTCAAGCCTTCAACTCAGCCTGTAGTCAGCCCGAGGCCCCTCCCCCCACACCACCACCACCACCACCGTTTCTCAGAAGATAGGCCTGGTGATCTGATTCAGAAGCCACAGCCACAGCCTTGAACCCTTTTGAGGCAACTGCACCGGCACACACGGGTCACCAGGGTCAGAAGAGACTCAGCAGCAGCTAAGCACCACCAATGCGGACTGATCCTGAGTGGGATCGTGCAGGAGAGAGCAGTGGTAATACAGGGGGAGTTTGGTGCAACGTGGAGAGATGGAAACAGGTGTGTCTGACCATGGGGAACCCCATACCTCACTCTCCTAGCCTGCCAGCACACTTTACAGAGAGTGGGAGAAGCAGGCCGGCCTGCACTGAACAGAAGTCTGTCCTGTGTCAGCCCGCCACACCTAGAGCCTGAGAGCAGGCAGCTACAGGGCTTTGCTGCAGAGGCTCCTTGGTGCCAGTCCTGTGGGCTTCGTCCTGTGCTGGGCTGTGAGCTGAGCGTCTGTGTGCTTACTGCTCGAACGCCTGGCTTACTGTTGACTGTTAACAGCATCTGTTCTCTGGAAAAAGGAAGGGATACCAAATAACCAAATGATAGCTACAAAACAAGTGAAAGCCTGCTTTTTTCCCTGCAAGTTATTCTGAAAGTGAGGAGGAGCAGCTGCGCATTGGCTAGCATTGGCTAGTGTGCGTTCTCAGAGCTGGCTCTGCGTCTGTGCTCAACCAAGTGACATTTGATACCCTTAGTAGTTAGATTATCAGGAAGAAATGTGGAGACACAGTGTCACCAACCTTCTGGAAGGTCACTGGTGACCAGCATCAGAGGGCTTCACAGTGTGCCTTGTCGGGTCCAGAGTACCATTTCCAGGACTTCACGCGAGGACCAGTGTCCACCGAGAGATGGGCCGGCCGCCCTGGCTTCTTCATGGTGACACTTGTGAGCTTAGACACCTAAATCCCCCAGATGCTCTGCGAGTCCAGACAGCATCCACGCTCCAGCCATGTGGCCTGCACAGCTTGTTTTTAAATAGCAGCTTTCCTTTTAATGTAGGAATTTTATTATTGTGGTGGAAAGGCCAGCCCCCCACAACTAATCACGGGTTCCATGAGCGCAATTGTACGGTTAATATACATAAAGATTATAGTAAAGTCCTAGAGAGCATGAGAAATAAAAGAGAGATTGAAAAATACAGGAGTCAGACACATTTTGTGGTAGCATGCTCATCTCAGCCCTGCTTGGTGGTCCTCGTAGAGAGAGGTGGGGAGGAAGGAGGACAAGGGGTATGGGAACAATGGAGTGAGGACTCGGGGAGAGAGGGAGCCGATGAGAGGCCAAGAGGTACCTTTATTGCTAACCAAGGCTTATATACCTTTGGGGGGGCATGCAAGCCCCCTAATTACAGGTAAAGACATACATCACAGGAAGGGGTTGTACTATAGATGATACAGCAATGAGGGGACAATCTAGGGACATACATGCAGTAAGAAGAGAAGGGGTTGGAGGTACACATGTGACAAGATGGGCGGGTCCTAGATTCAGGATGGCAGCCTAACTTTGGATGTCACTGAGCTGGTTTGACCCATTCTGTGGATCTCCATAGGAACCATTATCTGTAGGGTGTAAACCCCACCTACAGGGACCAGACTAATGACCACAAGCCTTTAGGGAGAAGTAGCCCATTGTCCTTAACAGCAGTAGGGCCCAGACAGTAGTCTGGCAACTGACTGCCTTCAGGGAGGTAACTTGACAATCATTTACCATTAGCTGCAAGCAGTGTCCTAAGTCTACCATATATTGGGGGGAGACGACTTGGGAGAAATCTTTCTGTTTCCCACATATTATATGAACTATTTTCTAAACTTACTTACTCTTGTCCAGTACTTTATTCTTGAATGAACTCCATAACCCCTGCATTTCTTTCTAGGGGCCTTACCAGGACACTTTAGAGTTTCTGTTGCGCAGCAGAGATGAATGTAAGACTTTCTGGAAGATTTGTGTGGAGCACCACACCTTTTTTAGGCTTTTTGATCAACCTAAGCCGAAAGCTAAAGCGGTCCTCTTCAGCCGCGGCTCCTCCTTCAGATACAGGTAGGCTGGCTTCCAGCTGTTGCTGATGAGGTGGAGGAAGGAGGGCTATCCCCTGCTGCAGGAGACTTCATCTGTCACACAGCTACTGTACAGTGTCGTAACTGAAGACTAAACGAGTTAGTGAGAAATTGGTTTCCTAAAGGCTTACTTACATGAACCAGCCTGGTTCTGCTTGTCCAGACTATGCAAGGGGGCAGCATGCGTGCACACACACGCATGTATCTGTCCATGCAAGAAATTAATTAATTAATCAATTAGTTAATTAATTAATGCATGGATTACTGTTTTCTCTTTTTAAAAAATCTGAATCTTTATCCACAGTGGCAGAACTCAAAAACAGCTAGTAGACTATGTGAAAGACAGCGGGAAAAAGAAAATCCCCTATGAAAGGTGAGCTCTGTCTGGGGTCTTAAAGTACAGTATATGTTTTTTAAATGCGCATTCAATGGTTTTCACCGCGACTAAGTGTCTTGCATACATATGTATTTGACCCTTGAGTGGTGTTTATTTGTGAGTTGAGTGGATTTGCAGCATCTTTCCAGACATGACTTTGGGGTCTGAGAGCATCTGCCTAACTTAGTCTGTGCCAGGTTTTGTGGCAGGGCCCAGCTCTCCTTGGTGTGACGACCCCCTGTGGCCTGCCTGTATCAGGGGAGTGGCTCACCCCTGCCTGGCCCCATGTGCACCTGTCTCTTTCGCAGCAGCAGGGCTTTCATCCAACAGCTCACGGCCTGTTCTCCCTTGCAGAAGGCACAGCAAGACACGGATGTCCGTTCGAGCTCTGACTGTGGACGTGCCCAAGCAGGTCAGTCCTTTTCTGGTGAGATGCACCCACTGAGGGCAGTGTCCTCTCGGGGACCCTATGACGGCAGAGCTTGGTCGTTAACAGAGTCGTCTTCCCTCCATATCAGTGTTGGCTTTTCTTCCTTATTGTCTTTCCATTCATTTGTTGAGAGGTAACCGCTCAGAGTTTTTCTTTCAACCTTTTTGTTTTCCTTCTCAATTAGCTACACTCTTTTGAAAACAATCTGGCAATGTTCTCACACATCAAACAGACAAGCAAACCCATTGCCACTAAGTTGATTCTGAGTCATAGCAACCCCCTAGGAGGCATGGAGCTCCGTGATCTTGTGGCAGTAACAGCCCGTCGCCCTCCCACAGAGCAGTTCTGGGTTCAGACCACTGTGCCAGCAGGGCTCCTGAATGCGGTTAGTCACATCTGTCAATGCAGCAACCCTGTTTCTGGGCCTCTGTTGTGAGGACGGAGTCCCAGACAAGGAGCACCCTGGCACCGTGGCGTGTGAGTCAGTATTACTTGTTATTGACGCAAAACTTTGCAGCCACTGTCCATGTGAGGTGGTCCGGCACTGGGGTCTGTCTTATCTCGTAAATGACAACTGAGCCTGTGTGGGAGGACATGAGTGACCCAGGGGAATGTCCCAAATGTGGTATTCAGTGAAGACAACAGGTCACGCAGCAGCTGTGGGTAGTAGGATCCTTGTTTGATTTTGAAATCCAAGGGCGGGACATGGGAGAAAGGCTGGAGGAATAAACTCCTGGAGGGACACTCTGCACGGCTCTGCTCCCAGTGCTGGCATGTGGGTGGCAGCTATTTTCCTGTTTCCATTATCCTACAGTGAGCACATACTGCTTTCTGTGCCCAGAGCAACAGCTGAGTGACTGCTACTCTTATAACCGCTGAGGTCTTGGTAAATGCCCCCCTAGGAAGGGTTCACATAGCTAAGCTGTCTCCACTGTGTGGAATTCTCGGGAACCAGGAAAGCACCACGCAGTAGAAACGAGCCAGCTGGTGCTGTGGGTTAGGCTCTGGACTACTCACCCCAAGGTTGTCTGTGCCGTCTCGGAAACCCACAGGGACGTTCTTACTCAGTCCTATTACAGGGTTACTACAGAGGAGGACTCTCGATGAGATGGATTGACAGTGGCTGCGTCAGTGGGCCTGGCATAGGAATAGTTGTGAGGGAGGCCCGGAACGTGCAGTGTTTCCTTCTGTTGTACTTGGGGACGCCCGGGTCGGAGCCAATGTGCCGGTTCCTGACAGCCGCGGAGGGTTGCCATGAGTCAGCGCCAACTCCATGGCAGTGAGTTGGGTTTTGTCAAGGGTGTGCATTAACTAGACCAAGTCTTGCTCTCATGTTGAGGGTAAAAAGCAGGAGCGAATTATATTTACGTGTGCCTGCGACGAGTACAGCGCTGTGAAAGCAACAGCACACACAATTCACAGAAAAGCGGCTGGCAGGAACATACCAGAAAGTCCTGCAGCACAGAGACTTTACATTTCTAGTCTACTCCAGTGGCACTCCTTTCTGTGCCCTTGTTTGGCCCTAGATCATTGATTGCTTCTTCCCAAAGTCCAAATTGGTTGGCACGGTGTGACTAGTCTAGCAGTGACACACAGCTCCCAGGTATCGCACAGGGTGTTCTCAAAGCCACAAGAGATACGATTGTGGGTAAATGACTAAGAAATGGTGATAAGATCAACCTTTGGACAGAGATTGATCTGAGGTTGTGGAGTTTGCTTCTAGGTAAGGGACTCTGCCTTTGCTGTGGGTGCACAGCCCAGTGCACAGGGCAGTGTTTGGCTCCAGTGTTTAGTTTCAGCCCCCTCACTGGTGTTGTGTGTGTGTGTGTGTGTGTGTGTGTGTGTGTGTGTGTGTGTGTACGTGGGCCTTTCCAGCCGCATGGCACGCCGTGACCAGGGAAGACTTAGCTGTGAACAAATGGGAGCACAAGGCATCGAGAGCCCCCAGACAGCAAGGCAGGCAGCTCTGCCCTCAGCTGCCTCTCATCTATTCTGCTCCCTGGGACCCTCCCCTCGTTCCTATTGGGGTTCTCAGTGCTCACCGCCTTCCTCAGACGCCGGGCACTGACGCAGGCCAGCTACAACTTGGAAAGGCCTGACTGCACTCATCCTCGAGCCCTGGGCCTCAGGGTGTGGTGGATGAAAAGACTGGCTCACTCTCTAGCTGTGTCCTGGGGTGCAGGTGTTTAGTTTGGGGGCGTCCCTGATGGGGCCCTGAGCGGTATCCAAGAGAGCAGTAGAGCTGGCGGGAGGCCTGTGATCGGAGCCATTGCAGACGAGGCTGGGCAGGACACTCCGTTTGGAGTTTTACGTGTTTGTTTTCTCTCCTGATTTGATCCCCAGAGCGTCTCATTCACGGAGGGCATCAGGACTCCTGTCTCCCCCTCTTCAGCACACGCCGCCTTCTGTTCTGTACCTGCCTCCCCTGGGGCCCCGGCGACAGGCTTGCTTGGTTCCAAGGACAGCAGCTGCTTCCTGACAGCCCCCCAGAGTGTGGCCACAGACAGGAACAGTGGTGCCTCGGATGGGAGCCCCGACACCACGTGGCCCCAGGGGCCGCCAGAACCCCAGGCCGGCCCAGGTGCTGGCTTCTCTCACCCCGCAGGTCTGCTGGGGGCCGGGAGCAGGACCTCTGACCCAGATGTAGGGAAGGCGGGCAGGGAGGGCACAGCTGGTGCCCGAGAGCGGGGTGAGGGAGGCCTTTCTAACGGGGAGTGCTGGCCCGGGCGGGTGGGCAGGCGGGGACCCCCTCTTTTCACATTGACAAACCCCCAGCTACAGGTGTCTGAGGAGTTCATAGACGACGACCCCGCAGAAATCTCCTTCTTTGCCGGAGGCTCTGAGGCATTTTCCTGCCCCTACGGCTCCCTGGCCCTGCAGGACGCCCAGGGACCCTCCCTGCTCCCGGGGACCCCGTCTCGGTGTGGCACAGGCCTGGGGTCCCTGCAGGGCAGCCCAGACAGGTACTCCACCGAGGCGGTGGACATGGACGTGGATGACGACGAGTCTGAATTTGAGGAGGAAGGTGGCTGTCTCGGCAGCACGCAGCCCTCGGACACCTGTGAGCTGTTTGAGGTCAAGGCCCAGGCCAGCCTGATGCAGAGCCTGCTGAGCGCCTCCTCGGAGACCAGCTCACTCCGCAACAACCGCTCCGAGAGCAGCTCACTCAGCAACGTGCCGCTGGCCGGTGGGCTGGCCGGGCAGTCGGGGGCCAGCTCCCTGGTGAACTTCCCTGCCTGCTCCGTCCGCTCCGAGTGCAGCTCCGCCTTCCAGTTCTCAGACATCCTGGACCAGCTGGAGCAGCTCAGCTACCCCCCCACAGCCACCGAGGCCTCCAGCGGCTCGGACACGGACTCGTGGGACTCAGAGGCCGAGGCACCCCTGGACGCCAGCCTCTTCTTCAGCAACCCTTTTGCACAGGCTCCCAGAGAGAGGCTCCCTTTGGATCTGCAGAATCACCTAAATGTCATGGCCTGGGACGAGCACGCAGATAAAACCCCCCACTGACCACTGCCAGGCCCCCAGCCACCCACCCACCCACTTGGCACTCAGGGCTCCTGGGTGGAGGTGTTGCAATAACACTATGTGGTTGGCTGGCTTGCCGGCTCCTCCCTGTGTCCTAACGGACAGACTGACTGTGTGTGTGTGTGCGTGCATGCGTGCATGTGAACTTTCACTGTGAATGGTAAGAATGCTCTGCTCTGAGTCTCCTGGGGAGTGCCCACAGTCCCCACCCCTGCACAGCTTCAGGAGTCCGCTCTGCAGAACACGGAGTTTGGCCCTCAGCCTCGGACCATGTCAGCCCTCAGAGCCCAAGCCCAGCAGAGCTCTCTGCCACTGCGGGGTCTCAGCGAGGCCCTGGTCTGCCTGTCCAAGGCTAACGGTGAGCTCCACTGGGTGGTAGAGAGGCAGCTGCAAAGAAGCAGCAAAGAGCTGGCCTCTGAGGTGATGTCAGGCCATGTGGGGCTGGAGCTCCCTAGGAGGAAGGAGCTGCCTCCAGACCAGCCAGTTGACCCCCTCAGGGCAGCCCATCGGGCCCTACGGGTAAGCAACCTGTAGCCTTGCTGAGTTGCCCAGCTTCTGACCATCTTGGAGATGTCCTATGTGTACCCTGATGGACAGCCTCATGCTGCCCCTCCCAAGGCCTTGCCCAGGACCCGCCATGACTCACTGTTGGAAGTCGAGCTCAGCTCTGACACGGGGCGGGCACTTCAGGAACAAGCACATGTGACATGCCCGGCCAGGAGCCCCTAGGCCAGTGCTTCCAAGAGGCCAGCAGGCAGGTGAGGCAGCTGGTGGAGTGCCGGGCCTTCGGTGCTGTTTCCCAGTCCTCGTGGGCCCTGTCGGCTGGGGCAAGGCCGCTGCAGAGGCTCTGGTTCCTCCCAGCACTCCACTCTTGCCCGGGCAGGCAGAGGGAGAGGTGTGACAGACAGATAGTTGGCCAGGGGGCATGAGGCTACAGTCAGCCAAGCTCCAGTGGGCATGGGACAGGCCCCCCAACTGATGTCCCCTCTGTTGCATCGTCACTCCTGAGCCGCAGTCTCTCATCCTTTGTCAGTCCAAAGGCTGAAGCTGGCAAAGCATCGCTTACTGTGGTCCGTCCCTTCTTGTCATGCTCGCCTCACCGCCGGCCGCTCACCCTCAGAAAGGGAGGCCAGTTAGCTCACCAGGCCCCGCTCCTCGTGGTTGCTCTGAGCGCTGGGCTGCAAGTCAGAGCGGTGAGCCAGCTCAGGGCAGGGGCGGGGGCTTTCCTGCTTCAGGAAGGAGGCAGGAGTGTCCTCTGCCTGGCTGCTCCTCCTCCTGGCTGTGTGTGTTGGTGATCTCATTCTCCAGAGGGGACTGAAGTTTCAGTGTGTGCGTTTTCAGAGGACATGCAGGAGGGGACGCCTGGGCGTTCGCTGCCGCCATGATGTTTGCCTCGCATGTCTGTCCTTCCTCCTCTCCTGTAGCTCCGGATCTAGAACTGAACCAACTGCTCCCTGCTCAGCACAGGCCTCTGAGCCGACAGTGCCCTCCTCATACCACCTCACCCTCACTTTCTCTCGGACGTGCCAGAGGGGCTGGTCACAGCCCTCTCCTCTACCTCCTGCTCCCACAGGAACCACAGGGCCTAGAGCTGTACAGAACGGGCAGCACACCCACCCACCCCGACCCCGCAGCCAGCACTCGGGCCACCATATAGGGTATCCGTGTGACCTGTGGATTCCGGGAAGATCCCTGGGGAGACCTGGATGCTATTCTTCAGTTCTAGCTTTTCCTCCACAGTAAAGCAGCTCACACTGTGGTCCGTTTGTGGCCTTCCCTGGAGTTGCTGCCCATGCCTCTGGCCAGTCCACCTGGGGGCAGTGTGGCCCTACTCAGACAGCCAAAGCAAACCCTCCTGTGAGTCCCGCTGTCTGGCAGTGGCCAGCTCTGGTCCGCGGTGGTGGAGACTAGACCGAGCAGCTCAGCAGGCTGGAGTGTGTCGTCCACTGTGACTGTCTCCTCAGCATTGGCCCAGGCTCCTGTGGAGTCCTGCTATTAAGGACACGCAGCCAGTTGGCAAGCATTGGAGGGTGATGAAGTGCAGGACCTATGTGCCAGGAGACACACTGAAGTGCCCGCTCTGCCCATCAGCAGCCGAGATAGGCCTACAGGCTGCCTGGGTCTCTGTGCCAATGCACAGGCTTCCCCACTTGTGTCCAGAGCCTGATGGTGGGGCCTCAACAGCTGCTGTGCCAGTACCTTGAGGAAAACCCTGGGGACCAGGAGGGGGCGTGTCCTCTGTCACTTCACACAGCCAAGTGCGTTGGTGCAGGTAGATGGAATGGGGACTGCCTGGGCAGCCTGAGGCCTTAAGACAGAACTAGCCCTCCTTCCACACAGCTTGGACAGTACCCTCTGCTCTTTGTAGAATGTTTACTTTTATTAGGGGTCAAGTCTATTTTTGTATTGGCTTTTCCAAAGCCCAGGTGTTTTATACATGCCAATCTATGCATACTTAGAAGCCTCACAGCAATGCAGCTACCCATGTGCTACTAACACTGCCCACGCCGACAACGGGAAACAGCATGTACTGGGTTCTTGAATGACTAGACATCAAAATGGGCCTTTCTGTGTGACATTTGATAAGCACGGAAGTAGATTAGGATGCCCCTCTGCAGTTACTGTGACTGATGGCCCCGGTGGGTGCTGGCATGTGGTGTCCCCCGGGGACTGTGCTCTGTCAGCCTGTGTCACGATGTGGTCGTGCAGTGAACTGCTGGCCTTGCTGGGTGCCAGTGAGCACCCGAATGGCTCCTGGAATGCTGAGGCAGAAACCCACCCCTGGGACACCTTCACACACTCACACACCTCCTTCACTCACCTACCGATAACTTTGCACACACACGCACACCATGATTACCACCTTCACACACACCCCACCTCGACACCTGCTTCATAGGTGGCAGAGCATCCGTGATCACGGTGTGTACACAGTCAGCCTGCTCTGCGTCAGCTCCTGCCCGGCGTTGGTCCCCCTCCTGCACCTGTCCTGTGCTCAGGTGCGTGACGAGGGTGCGTGGGGCTCCCTCTGCACCCGGAGCTCGTTCTGTCTGTAAGGGACATCGTCTCCGTCTGCCTTGTGGTACTGGTACATTTGTTTACTGTCCAAATGGCCATTTCTAAACCTGCAGATATGTACTAATATGAAATTTTTAAATTGTTTAATCAATAAAATAAGGAAATATTTACTACGAATTCAATAATGGGCTTTTAGCTTTCTTTCCCTCCACTTATTCGTAGTTTTGATTTAAGTGAGGTCAAGCTAATTTTGGCTGCAAGAACAGTCCCTGGAGCAGCTTCCTGTTCTTCCACAGCCCCACCGGCATGTCCTTCCTTCCAGGGACCAAGCCCCCACAGAACCTCTGGCCCCGAGCTCTGGCCTCACGCTGAGGGGGAGGTGGGTCTGTGGAAGGCTGGGAGCCAGGCACTGTCCTTTTTTCCTGGTCAGCTGTGGCCTGTAATATGCCAGGTTAGTCCACCCTTCCCTGGGGGCCTAGGGCCAGTCATGACATGGGCTGGCTCTCCTGCAGTGTGCAGCCTGGGGCCACTGCTTGCCATGTCAGGGTTGCTGACCGTGGGGCCCAACAGATAGCGCTGGTCTGGATTCTGAAGTGAGCCAGTGATGACTTCCTGTCCGGCCCAGCCAGCAGGAAGCTCGCTGTGTGATTGTGGGGATTGCCTTGACCGAGGCCTGGCCCCGGGCCTGAGATCACTTGTCTGCTGGACAGCGAGGGCCCCACTGCTGCCTCACAAAGCTGTTCCAGCCCTGCTGGCAGCTCTGGGCCTGATGCTCACCTGTGTGCAGGCGCACCTTACAGCCCACGAGGGAACAGAGGGGGCCCGTCCCTTCCTGGGTTCCAAGCTGACAGCGGACCAGAGCCCTGGACTTGAACCTGGCCTCCATACCTGGGAGGTGCTTTCTGGGCAGTTTTGATCCCAAGCCTCTCTCCTGGGTCTGTGACAGGTCCTGCTGAGCGCACGCCACGCTTGAGGGCTTCCGCTCTGCAGGGGGTCGCCGCCTTGCCCCCACCGTGCAGTGCTGAAGTTCCTTACCACACAGACACCGCCGCCGGGTGGCCCTGACTCTGCCTGCCCGTGAGCCCAGGGCCTGTGTGTGTGCCCCAGCAGTAACAGGTGCAGTGTGGTCCAGGCCGGCAGCCTGTTTGTCCCAGTAAATGGCCTCATTATTAAGTGCAGCCTGTGGAGTGCTGTCCCTGTCTGCATAGTCCCTACTGCAGGCGTGAGCCCTGCCAGCCCACAGTGAGGGTCGGAAGTGGAGCTGCTCTGGAGCCTCTGTGCCGAGCCAGTGCGATTACACGAGCCCACTTCTCTGTGCAGCCCAACTGCGTGCTTCCTCCTCTGGGGACCTCACCACCCTTGACCTTCCCCTTTCATCCTGAAGTGAACTTCAGCCTTGACATTGAGTTTGCCAATCAGCCTGTGGTTCCTCCTCCACTATCAGGCAGATGTTTGTGCAAGTTACTCATTACTGCTGGAGCAGAGGCCTGAGGTTTGAAAAAGCGATGGGCCGGGTCAAGCTTCCCTCAACATTGTAGTGCTTTCAAGGCCGCCCTAGAGGAGCGCGGGCCTCCTGCAGGGAAAGAAAGGTCTAGCTGGCCCACAGGGTAAGGTGGTGGTCACACCACTCCAGGCCTGAGACCCTCCCCCCACGGATGATCTTGGATCTGTGCTATGTCACAAAGTGTCTGACTCGTGACATCTTAGGACAGCAGACTGATTTAAAGAACGAAGCATTTAGTGAGAGTATGCGGTGCTGTAACATCCAAATAAACTGAGTTGACGAGCAAGCCTGTGGAGACATGGAATTGAAAGATGGAAATTAGGAATGTAAGTGGTGTTTCTCGGCATCTGCTCCGTGAAGTCCAAGGCGCTTTTGTGAGCGAAGACATCGGCCGTGAACCCCTCCCTACAGAAGCTCCCCCACCAGGCTGGTGATGCAGTCTGCTCTACTCGGCTCACTGAGGAAACTCGGGGTGACCTCTAAAGATTGTTTTGAGATGAGGAAACCGGAAGGAGCTCGATCAGGACTGTAAGCTGGACGCCTTGTGACTTCCCATGGACACCTTCACAAGATCACGTGTAGTGAAGGATGGACTGGGGGCAGGGGGGGAGGGGGGCGACAGAGCTATACCTCCCAGGCGTTGCTCTGCTAAAGCTTTAGCACACCTTCTTCAAAGGATGCGATCATCCTAAGTCAACAAGCAAAATGTCGTGAGCATTTCTTGACTGGTCTGGGGCCACTCCCCCTCTCGGCAGCCATGCCTTTGATAGGCTTTGTCTTCAGGAGCGACCGCCCGGAAAGCCAAGTCTCTTCTGCTCATGGTCTGCCTGGGCAACGCTCCAGACCTGGATCCCACAGGTGTGCGGTCCCTGGGGGAGTCTGTCTGCAGCTGCTCTGGGGCAACAGCTTTGACGCCCCTCTAGCAGGGAGTTTGCTCCGCTTGGCTTCTCCCGCCAGAATCATGGCACGGGGCCAGTTGAGTGCCAGTGGTGCAGGTTATTGTCTGTTATCGTCCCTTGTCTCTGGGGACACGGATGAGGTAGCCTCCTCACCGTCAGCATGGCCTGGCCCCCAAAGCGAGTTTTCTCTCTGTACACTGCTGGCTCTTTGGGGCAGCGTCCCCAGGCCTGTCTCAGGAAAGATCAGAATTTCACCAAGCTTCCCCAAACATTGGCGGTTCGTCTGGCTCCAATTGTAGTGGAATTCATGGGCCTCTTTTCAGTCTGCTACTTGTTCACCAGATCCTGTTCGGACATCACATCACATGTTAGTGTGAGTTTACATTGGGGCAAAAAGAGTTTTAAGCCATGCATCATTTTCCCAGAATGTGCATTTCCACGAAGGCGGGACAAGCAGTGAAGAGACCAGATGGCTGCTGGAACCAGGAGGTCTGTCCCGGGGGCGGTGCTGGCTGCCCTGCCGAGAGTTAGTCCCTGAACCGGCTGCTGTGGGGTGGTTTTCCCGACGTGAGCAAGGTTGCAGAGCCCCTCGTTGGGTGCCAAGAGGCAGTGAGCGCCAGCTCCTCCAGCCGAGCCGCCCACCACAAGCAAGACAGGTACATCTGAGGGGCAGCGGGAAGCGTGCAGTTCCAGCTCGTAGGGACGGGACTTGGAGAAGCAACCCAGAACCTTTCCCTATGGACACGCCTCTTCCTGGGACAGGAATGACCTGCGCTCTGGCAAGCACTCCCTTGGACCCACCCCCTGGCCCCTCGCTGCAAAGGAGAGGGTGGGAGGGTGTGGGTGGCAGTGAGTCTGTGCTAACTACAGATGCAACCAAACATCAGGGCCATGCCACCTTGGAGAGACTGCTCCCCAGCCCTGGAACATTCCAGAAGAGCATGCTGCCATCACCAGCCCTCAGAGCAACAGCTGTCGCTCATCCCAAGGAGGCTGGCCCTGGAGCCCCTCACCGTGCTGTGGCCTTCTTGGCACTCGGGACTTGTCAATGTGAAAAGGGACCCCTTCCCTGCCCGCCCTTCAGTGCAGCGTGGCGGCTAGCTCCGGGTCCAGGCCAGCCCACTGGGCTGCCCGAGCCATGGTGTGGCCTGCTCCTGGGCCCCCTGAGTGAGTTAGAGGTGATGGTTAGAAATGGGGGCGCCTTGTTCTAGTCCTGGGGACCCCTGGGCAGTTCCAACTCACATTCAAGTCGTGTTTAGACAGGAGTTAGACTTGTGCTATAAACCCTTAGAGATTGCCTTTACGCGTTGACAGGTAATAGCTTGTTTTCTCACAAGCGAGCGCTCTGGATAAAATAGAGATTTTTAAATCTCCAAAACAGCTAGGAGTATTTCTTTACTGGGCTAGAGTTCCCCTTTGGCCTCCGTACAATGGTGGCCATCCATGCAAGGCCTGTCTGGTCAGGACCAAGGTTATCTGAAGGTCAGAGCATGTGTTCTGTAGCCGAGGGCAAAGCATTAGTCAGGACGACTCAAGGACATGAGCACAGGGTCCTCGAGAGAGTAGCCACTGACCACCAGCCTATCCTGGGCCCAACCTCACACCACCTGTGTCTGCTGTAGAGCAGAGACGCCCCCGCAGAGTTCTGGGGAGTCCTGTTGCCACGTGCGGGCCCCACGAGGTCAGGTTTACCCGCAGCCACCCTGCCTCACGTCCGGTGTGAAACACCACGTGATCCAGGGTCCTAGATGAGCGTCTTGCAGGAACATCCCAGTGACAGGCGTTCTGGAACAGTCCGAGCTGAATCTGCATGCTCAGAGGTGACAGGTGAGCTGTCACGTGAGGTAGTCTAGGCAGGGTCATTGTGCACGGCCACCCTTAGCCCTTCTCACGCCCACCCCATTCCAATTGTAGGCTTCCCCACGCAGACGCCTCAGCCTTCCCCCTCCGCCCAGAAGAGCCCCCCGAGCTTGACCTCTGCGCTCCAGGTGACCCTGAGCCCCGGGGCGTGGAGCTCCTCCCCACTCCTGAGCCCCGTCCTCGGTGATGCGGGCAGAGCCAGGATGGACGACGATGATGAGCCCGCACATAAGGTGGGCACCCACCGGGAGACCCCTCCCAAGTGGGCGGGCACTGGGTGTGAGGGAGGAGGAAGCCGGTGTGGTGTAGGCCCTCACCGGTCACCTGGACAGCGCTGTGCAGGAGGGCCACAGGCCAGGACAAGTGAGGGGAAGGGTCAGAGTGCCCTGAGCAGCACAGCCGCCTGGGTGCATTGAGGGTCGTGAGCCACGCAGGCACTTCCTGGACTGTCTGGACATTTGGGGTTCCAAGTGGGGGCGGAACCTCTGCTCAACTGGCCTTCACATGGTGAGGGCAGGGCTCCCCGAGGCGCGGGTGGCCAGCCCTGGAGCAGTGCAGGAGTGCCCTGAGCATGGCCGTGGGTGGGGGCACCCCCTCCTGGCTGTACCCCTTGGGGAATGGACTGGCTGGGAAGGGCACGGTTGGCCCCTGGACGCTCTGGCCAGCGGCGAGATGGTTGGCGTGTGAACCTTCACTCCATGCTGTCTAGTCCTGTCACTTTGGTAACTGGACTGGAACTCAAGAGGAATTCTGTTTCCATGCCTGCCCCACCCCCGGCCATTTGTTACAAGAGGCAGGAGACTCCTCTGTGCCGTCCACTCAGGACGCTGGGCCAGCCAGGGGGCCACAGTGCTCTCCTGGGCAGCCGCTCAGCTGGGATCCTTAGAGCTGGCAGGACCAGGGCTTTGTCCCCTCTGCTCAGCCCTAGAGGCCCACAGCCCGTGCCCAGAGGCTGTCCCGATGGGTGGGCATCTGTACAGCACCCAAGGGTAGGGACTTGTGGGATGGCCACCACCCCGAGAGCCGTCCTGGGCCTGGGCCTCGTAGGGCAGGGTGGCAGCCACCCTCTGCATGGATGAACCCACCATGAGAGCCACAGTGGCAGCAGAGTCTCTGCCCAGGCCTCCGGCGTGTCTGGCCGTGCCTCCGTGGTCCCTAAGAGCCCCGGGGTGACTGACTGCGGCCTTCCCTCACCCCTTCCCCTTCTAATAGAGACTCGTGAGAACCAGCAACATCCGAAAGGTACACGACCCAGGTGGTGGTCTCCGCTTCAGTGGCCTGGGGGTCCATTCCCCCACCCTCCGGGTCCACCAGGCATGCTGGGGCTCCGCTGGGGGCAGTTTGCAGCCACGTCCCTTTGAGGTCACTCTGCATGGAGACCAGAGCGCCTGGCCCTTGCTGGGGGCTGGGGGCTGGGGGCTCGCTGGGCTGTGCTGGGCTGTGCTGGGCTTGGCTCTCACTCTCTTGAGAGCTTCATCTCTCCAGGACGGGGATCAAGCAAGAGCAACAAGTTCCAAGTCGGGAACAAGGCTCCCGGGCAGGCCAAGGTCTCCACCCTTAGGAGCTGAGCCAGCTCCTCGCTGAGCCCAGACCAGCAGCCCTGTCCCCATCATGGGGTGGGGGCTTCCCGAGCCTCAGAACAAAGAGGGCCGGAGCCCCCAGACCCAGGCCCCACCTGACCCATGTGGAGGCAACAGGACAGAACATCGCTGAGGTTTCCAGAACATGGACTTCAAAAGTCACTGTCCCAGCACGAAGGGCAGAGAGACAGCAGTCCCGGCTGGCTGGCTGGCGGCTGAGGCCTGTGCAGGTGGGGGCTGCTGAGGGAGGCTGGGGGCCAGCGCCTTCACAGAGCTGGGTTACTCAGGGTGCTGTGGCCCGTAGGCCGCTGGGGGGTCAGCCGTGGGCCTGGGAGCAGGGCAGGGGGCACCCATCAGGGTCACTGTTCACCTGTGTCTGACCCTCGAGGCAGGAACTGTAGATGCTGGAGTTGTTGCTGTCACCCACGCGGCACCCGGAGTCACAGTGATGTCTGTCTTGGTCACTTGGCAACTTCCGGGTCGGCTTGCTCACCCATGCCCCATGTGGACCACCCAGCAGGGACCTGGTCACAGGCCAGGAGCCCAGTCGGGAGGCCCTGCTGCCGAGAACTGTGTGGGCAGAGGGACACAGGCCCCTCTGGCCCCTCTGGCCAGCGGGTGGACACGCTGTGCCCCCAACCAGCATCTTTCTCCTCCAGCGCCTGCCCACAGACCACACCTATTTTATAGCAAAGGAGATGCTGAACACAGAGCGGACCTACCTGAAGGACCTGGAAGTCCTTACCGTGGTATGCAGCCCAGCCTCGTCACGGCTGTTCCTAGCGCGGCCCAGGCCCACCAGAGGCTGGCGCTCTGTCCAAGGAGGGGCCAGGCCTGGGCTGCGCTGTCTCTGCCCGTAGTGGGCCTGACCGGGGGGTGGGGGTGGGGGGTAGGAGGCGGAGTGGGGGTCTGTGTACGTCTGTCCCTGGGAGGTGCGGTCGGGTGCGTTCGGCCACGGCCCCCGGGAGGGCCCATATCAGCCTTCGGTCCCCACAGTGGTTCCGCAGCGCCGTGGTGAGGGCGGATGCCATGCCTGAGGGCCTGAGGACCCTGCTCTTCTCCAGCATCGACCCCGTGTATGAGCTGCACCGCGGTTTCCTGCGCAGGCTAGAGCAGAGGCTGGCCCTCTGGTAACGCCCCGCCCACGCGGGCAGCCCTCCCGGGATTTACATAGGTGTGGCCCCCCCCTCCTCAACCCCACCCCAGTAGACATCATCCTGAGCCCCACGGCTCGGGGCTCAGCTTGAGCGCACGGCCAGCTCTGTGTCCGTACCACTCTCTGCCTCCCGGTGGGGACCTGGCAGGGAGGAGCCTAGTGTGGAGGCCGAGGCAAGTCTGTCCTCTGTGACCCGGTCCCCTGACCCCCAGGGGCCAGCCACTTGCTGCACTGTGGCCCCCGACTCACCCTGATTGACCCTCTGTCTGGCTTTGCCCAGGGAGGGACCACCCTCAGGTACCCCCACACGTGGTGGCCCCCTCAGGATCGGGGACATCCTGCTCAGGAACATGCGGCAGCTACAGGTAGTCCACCTGTGTCCCACATCCCTGCCCAGCCTGTCCATGGGACCCTGCTCCCTGCCGGTGCTGGTGGGACTGGGACAGGGTGGGGTTACAGGTGCAGACCCTCAGTGTCAGAAGGCAGCAGGAGTTATTTCCCAGCTCTGAGACCTGGTCCAAGTACCCGGGTCCTCCTGCCACCACTCTGAGCCACAGTGCTCTGCCTGCCTGCGCTGGGCTCCGTCTGCCCCACCACTCAATTCTTGGGGCGCTGGAGGGCCCGTCATGTCCATTTCAGAGTCAGGAGCTTCTGCACCGTCCTGCCAGGTGCCAGGGCCAGGGGATGGCCTGGCTCACCAACCATAGTCCCTCGCACCCCTCAGGAATTCTCCGGCTGCTTCCAGAGGCATGCTGAGGTGCTGACCGCGCTGGACAAGGCCACCAGGCGCTCCAAGAAGCTGGAGGCCGTGTGCAAGGACTTCGAGCTGCAGAAAGTCTGCTACCTGCCGCTCAGCGCCTTCCTGCTCAAGCCCGCCCAGCGGCTGGTCCACTACCGCCTGCTGCTGACCCGGCTGTGCAGCCAGCTCCCACCTGGCCACCCCGACCTCCCGGACTGCCAAGGCGAGTGGACAGTTCACAGGGCCATCCTGGGAGACGTTGTGAGGGGGCAGCACTCTGGGCTTTTGCCCATCCCCGTGTCAGTGATGGTGTTCGTGGCTGGGACTCGGGCAGCTCCACCTGCAACTGGCAGACACAGCCTGGCTGCGCTGTCCTCACACTCGAGGGTCAGCCAGTGCTCCTGGCACTCATGCAACTGGCAGACACCGCCTGTCTGCGCTGTTCTCACACTCGAGGTCAGCCAGTGCTCCTGGCACTCATGCAACTGGCAGACACCGCCTGGCTGCGCTG